CCGAAAGACAACAGATATGGGAACAAATTTGTGGTGACTGGAGGGGAAAGGAGTACAGGTGAAAGAGGTAAAGAGGTTTCAGAGGTACAAACTTTCAGGGCTAAAATCAATAGATTATAAGTATGTTATGTAAGAGAATATACTCAATATTTTATAATACACTTGGTACGTAATTGATAAAATATCAAATTACTATGTTGTGGAACTGAAACTAATATAACATAGCTAGTCACTTATACTCCAATAAAATTTTTAACTACATAAAATGAAAATGTGACTTTATGTGGCAAAAGGGACTTTGGATATGTGATTAACTTAAGGTTCTTGATACGAATTTTCCTGGATTATCAGGGTAGACCCTAAATATAATCATAAATATCCTCTATTTACCAGAAACAAATAGACTGCCAGAAATTTCTCCAGCAAACATGGTTTTATTCTAGATCAGAAGAGAATTGCAGTTCAAGGTCTGTAACCACATCCAAGTCCCCACACGGCAAGGGAAGGAGAATGTGTTTACAGAGAGGAGAAGTGGGGAGGGCTGTAGTAAAGAAGAGGGTCCACGGCTTCTCATTGGCTGAGTCCTTGCCAGGAAACAAGACAAGTCCTTCTTCTGCCCTTTGAGCTCTGCTCTCCTCACAGGGCATGAGCGCTCCCACTGTCTCCCACCTCTATTTAATTGTGATTTCTGTTAATTTACTTTTTACACCTTGTGAGACAGAAGCAGAAGGATATGTGACTGCAGAAGAGGAAGGAGCAGTGGTGGTGGAAGCAAGAGGTTGGAGAGATTCAAGAAAGGCTCATGAGCCGAGGAATCCAGGTGGCCTCCAGTAGCTGGAAAAGACAAGGAACTGGAATCTCCTTCAGAGCCTCTAGAAGGAGCCATGCCTGCCAAGACCTTGACTGTAGACAGTGAAATTGATTTCAGACTTTTTGCATGTAGAAACACAAGAAATAAATTTGTTCTAAGTGATCAAGTTCATATTGAACTTTGAATTTGGTCTGTTGGCTTTGCAGCACTGGTAGGATGTACTCACAATCGCCTGTTGGGACGCACTGTGGTGGACCTGAACGTTCTTCAGATGCCTGGCTAAGCTGGATAATATCTTTATTGGAGTGACTTCTCTTTTAATCCCTTTCACATTTCACCTTCTTGGAGTCCAGCCTACTGTGGTAAATATGTGTTTTAATTCTCAATTCTGTCCTCTTATCAGCTACCCTTCTGACCCAAGTTAGACGTTTTAAGTGCAGAAGGAGATACAGATTGAGAAGGAAGATAAAGACCAAAGTCCCAAATCTGTAGGGTGAAAACGTGTCTGTGATTGAAACTACACTGATGTAGGTGGGGACTGATAAGCCCTACAGATGCAGGTGGCAGCCTCATGGTGAGACTGTGGCTGGAGGGGGCCGAGCCCGCTGAGGGTTTGTGTTCAGGCTGCAGGTGCCTGGGGAGCACTGTGCTCACAGCACAGAAGTAAGTGGCTGAGTCTGTGGTCTGGGAGGAGGAAATGTTCAAGGAGCTGCGGCGTTCTTGAATGACTGTCGTGGCACTGAATCTTCCATCGCGCTTCGTCCCTGAAGCAACGGAAAACAGGTGGATGAGGCGGCCCCCGGGGTTCTGAGAATACCACTGCAGACTGTTCACAGAGCTGGAAAACTTGCACCACAGCGTGGAGGTGGCTCCCTCCTGGAGACTCAGGACTGGAGGACTCTGCTCCACATCCTGCCCTGTCACACCTGATGAGAAACACAGAAACAGTCACAGGCGAGGGTAACTAACTCCTCCAAAACCCTGAAAGTGCCCCCAGGGATGATGAGAAGACTAAAAAGTCTGCAAGACTTGTCAGCCCCCATCCCTCTCCCCTCAACAATACTGCAGCTGCTCAGTCCTGCAGATTCCCTGCGGGGCAGCCCCAACTCACAGCAAACCTGGGCACACAGAAGCCCCAGCACAGCGCCCACCAGCCTCTTCATGACGCCTCGCCTTCTTGCTGGGGCATTTTCACTGTAAGATACTTAACTCATCAGATGGTGAGTCTCATGATTGGTTCTGGAAGCATTCCAGCCCCTGAAACCAATCAGCTCACCTGACAAATCCTGCTCAAGCCCACACTGTGTGACAGGAAGCCCCACCCTCCTGCCTCAGCTGCACTCAGACGAGTGACGAGGGCTGGAGAGAAAGGGGGAACAAGAAGGGTCATTATGTTATGACTGAGGGACATTTTCAGAGAACATTTCACAGAAGACAGACTCTGATTTGGAATTTGGGGGAGGGGGTCGTAATTTTCGGGAAGAAAAACAAAACTAATTATCTAGTCTCTTACTTCTTCTCAGATGGCAAGGATGCAGTAGATTCTTGCGTAAGGAAAGTGTTTCCCAGGAGTGCTGAGGGTCCATGATTTCACTTCTCTTACGTTCTCGTCTGTGGTTCTGAAGGATGCTCACAAGTCAGCACAGTATTCACAGCAGTTGCTCATGCCGGCTGAGACACTCTGCTGTATTAAACAGTATTAGTTTTAACTGTATATATTTATTCTATTCTGAACCTGCATAATGAGTGATATTATTTACTGTAGCCACCAGAGGGACATTGAAAGTAGAATTGTAAATAGTTTTATTTCTCTTAAAACTCTGTCATTTAAAATAAAATGTACAAATTCAGTTGTATATGCATTTTAACACCTGTTTTTTTACATTTTAAAATTTTTTTGTATTTTGCTTTTTAGTTATAGTAGTTTATTTTAAAAGAAAAATAAGTGGTTTCAAAAACATGTGAAAATAACTCTCATTTGTGCTCTTACCTCAGAGTCTATAAATGATAATAATTCTCTGTAGTTGGACTT